ACAGAAGTGGCTAGTTTTGTTTTGTCATTGACTGAATCACTTAGCCTTTCTTAGCCTGTTCCTTCATCTGTAAAATAAGGGGATTTGATTAATTAATGCCTACTAGCCCTTCTTGGCCTGCAGTTTAATGTCTTGTCAATGTCTCTAGGTCTCTATTTTCAGATATTTTTTTGAAGCATAACCCAAGTGCATTGCTGTCAAGGTGATGCTAACTCATAGCAGCCCTGTAGGACAGAGTAGAATGCCTTATAGGGTTTCCAAGGCTGTAATCTTCATGCAAGGAAAGTGCCACATTTTTTCCCATGGAGCAACTGGTGGGTTTGAACTATCCACCTTTCGGTTTGCAGCCAAGTACTTAACCACTGTGCCACCAGGCCTTCTTTTTTTAAAAAAAGATAACATTTATAAAATAAATGAGGAAATATAGATAAGTTAAAAAAGAAAGCAAAAGTGATACATAACCCAGAAGATCAGTGTCTGTCCCCATATTGTGCTATATAACATTCTACAATAACAGGATAACTGTGTTCCCAGGAAACCTCTTGTTATTAAAATAACTCCATCATAAAAACAAATCTTTCAGTGCAAAAAAGGGGTCATTGACTATACTGACAATAAAACAATATTTTTTGTGTGTGTAGGAATTTTAATAGTAATGGTTTTTGTGAAAACAAATGCATTCTCACACAATGTGCATGTGAACACCACAACACCTTAATATCCTTGAGCAGACCTGAGCCACATGGATTCTGTCTAGTGTTCATTCAGGAGTGTGGACGTGATTTCTCTATGGCCATGAAACTTTCTGGCTACTTGTATGTAGGCAGTCCCTGACTTACGACATATTTGAGTTATGATGAACTGCACTTATGACTCTGGTTTTCTAGTACATCTTATTGTTAGTAATATGTCTGTATTACATATTAAGATATATCTGTAAGTTTATATAAAATGTTCCCAACTCCCAAAGACCAATAAAAATTGGATTTATAAAGATACTGATAATAAAAATAGAATGAGGTATTGGCTTATGTCAGAACTTATGATGGACTTGTTGAAACAGGACCCTGTCATAAATCAAGGACTACCAGTATTCTCTCCCCTTCACTCTCTCTCTTTTTTTTTTTTGATTGTGGTAAAAGATACATAACAAAAATTGCCATTATAGCTATTTTTAAGAGTATAATTCAATGACATTAATTACACTTACTATTTTGTGCAACTATTACTGTTATCCAAGTTCTTCATCACCCCAAACAGGAACT